ACCAGTTATCAACTTAAAGATACTGTAGGTGATCCTGTGTAAAATAGTCAATGCACGACTTGATTTGAATTGACTACTCATGGATACGTAGACACCTTGTTATATGATGAAATCAGGTGTGAATATAGTGCACTGCCTTTAGTAGCTGCAGAATGGCTTTAGAGTAACACTAACCTGTGTATTCAAACACCTTTTTCATGGATGAAATGTGTTAAAGAAAACGATTGCATGAAACATGCTGTCACCAGAAAGTTTTGCTTAGCATTTCTATTTGTACTATGCACACCATCACCAATGCCCCAAATTCTAACTGATTTCTAACGTTTAAGAATTAGTCCAAAATGAGCTGAGTAGACTGAAGAGATCTGCTGTAGACTAATAAAACAGCAATGTTCTACAGTGTGTGACAAGCTCCTTGCTTAAGTAGTCCTTAAAAACCCTTAACTGAATTCTGGCTAGGTCTAAGGTTAAGTATTAAGATAGTTCTTAAGCCTTATTTACAGATCTTTTCCTGCATAAATAATGCCTAGATTTTTTAATTTCCTTTTAAGTCTGAATAAGGACCCACTGAGACATTCCAAATACATTTAATTTATCCTGTAAGAAAATCATGCTAGGATTTGACCAGCTATCTTGTTTACTTACAGTGGCTTGCTAGCCAGTTTCATTCAAATGTCATCAGGAACAACTAATGCACAAAATAGACACGAATTCTTCTGCCACTTTTTAATTCTTTTTGAAGGTCCTGTTAATAGCTGAGCTCCGTTATTCTATAATGTTCATTTGTTGCCCATAATATTCCATAAAATTAACTGTAATATAAACTGAGTGATCAAAGACAATTTGTTCTCAATTAACCTAAAATAATTTTTAGGTTTATTAAATGGATTAAAAATGAAGGAATAGAATGTAAGACCTTTGGACAATGTATAGTAATTGAATACTGATGGATTGTAAGTGGAAGTAATCAAGCCCTGAATCAAATAATGCATTCTAATTTAGGAAATGGAACCTTGCTGACAAGCAGTGGGGCTTTCTCAACAATACCCATTCAGCTCTTCGATTGATCAGTTATTTTTACCATATTGGCTTGTGCCTGTGACAGAGAGCCTCCATAGATGCTCAGGCAGGTAATACAATATTAACCAGGATTGGTGTTCAGAATTGATTAAAAAAAACAAGGTACGTGTTGCGGCAGCGCTCCTGGGCACAGAAACAAATAATCCGATGAAGCTGCAAAGACCACTGAGTTCATGATTTATTCAGGCACCATAGATGTAGCTTGCCATTTAAAATTTGTTTTTTCCACCACAAAGTGATTTGTATAGGGCTGTCAATATCTTTCCCTCAAAGGGAGCAACTTAAGTTATCTGAATCTTAAGAGGGCACACACTGTTCCATCACATTTATTATTTCACACCCCTCCTACCTCCACCACTATTATTGATTTCTTTCGCACAGTTTTCATTTTTCCTTCATCTTTCATAGTGTTTTAGAAATTCTTACTTTGTCTTTCCAGTGTACCATTGAGGGATTTTTTTTAAAGTAGTATCATTAAAGTGATTTTAAACTCGTTTGGAGAATCGGATTTGATGTGATTAGATGTGGGAGCAAAACAAAATCTGTTTGGTGCTTCATTATTCCTGCTTTATTTAACATTTCTCTTCCTATTTTTTTATTCAGCTGCCATAGCAATTTAGCAGTATTTGCATTAGTCAAGATGAATGCGCCCTTGTGACGTTAACTGAAAATTCATTTGCAAAATGTGAAGCATCGTCACCCTCTTGACCAGGACGTGAGACCACTGTAGTGCTAAATATTGCGATTTTTCTCATATCTTCTAAATAATTTACAAAATCATTTTGAAAGATTCGTATGAAAGAGAAATGGGAGAACAGGCTCTATAAGTATTAAACTTTTATTAATATGGTCATAAGGGAAGAAAATTGGCAATGCTACATATAAGTATGCTTCAGGCAAAAGGGCAAATTAAAAAAAAACTTCAGAAAACTTCATTGAAGATTACAAGTTAAAACGAGGAAAAAGATCAAGGGATGGAAAGAAGCTTAGCCTTCCTGAGGGATCTACAGTTAAGGACAGTCCAAAGCAAAGCATTCATCTAATAAATCTAGTACTGTAAATGTACAGTATAAAGAGAACACCAAAAACCAGCTTCTGCTAACTGACAGGCAGTGTACTTGGTGTTATTAATGAGCTGAGAAGTTTGCTCAAGATATTTTTAGAAGGAGACAACTGGAAAATGTAACTCAGCTGTAGCTGCTCAAAGCCATTCATTAGCAAAGTAAAGACTTGTACCCAAGATTAACACTTTTTATTGTTGAGCCAGGACAGAGTACACTGTACAACATGCTTAGTTCCCTTAAACTGTATGTAATTCCAGATTAGCTAACCTGTCATTAAGAACAGTTTCAGTGGCATAAACAGCAACGCTGAACATGAGAAAGAGTGGAGTAGTTTTGGGTGAATGTCACGAATCAGTTTTTTTTTTACCACTTCAGCACTTTGCCTTTTCCGGAATATTACAATTTTGAAAGCATTTTAAAATGTGGTTATTTCATACTCATGGTAACATCTTTGATAAAAATAGCTTGCACACATCCCAGATCCAAAAAAAGCTTAATTTCCTATTTTGTTTTAGATTGTATGCTGACCTTCACACCTACAGGGTAACATTGGGTATTCCTTTATTCTTCCTTTTAGAGGTGATCTACTTGCTGTGTAACAGTCACCACAGAGTCTAGTCTTTTCTCTGTACAAATGTTTTCTTCTTATCAAAAATATATCCCTTCCCAGTTACCTTTATATAGGATAGAGGACTAGACAAGATGGATGGTAATGCTGATAAGGATGCAGTCTAGGACAAACCTTTCCAATTCTTTAAACATTTATCCACCATGTGATCCATTTTAATTGCACATAGACTATTGCAGATTCCACAGATGCCACCTGAAGTGAAGTGATTCCTGCTTGGAAAACCTTAGGCTGACTTTTGAATGTTTTCCCTGTGTCCACTTTGGTTTTCTCTGGGTTACTCCAAACTTCCCAAAAGCTTGCTGGCAAAATAAGTCTTTAAATAGCATGTGATTTGCAATGAACTGGCATCCCAACCAGGATGGAATCCTGCTTGAACTCTGTGCTTCTGTTGTAGACTCTACAGGAGTGACCAGTATTCTGATTGGTGGATTGTCTGTTGGTGTTTTGTATCTGCTGTTGTTTTTCTTGCATTTATCTCCAGAAATATACATTAAAAAAGTGGGGTGAAAATAGACACAGCCTTCACTCGTTTTTCATGTTTTAAGAGTTAAGTGGTCTGTCGTTGTCTTTCAGCCCCCTTCCAGGATACTGTTTCCTCACTGCCAGTCCCCTCTCGGGGAAGACCTCACATTCATCTTTCTTCTTGGATGCTTTTCACTTGTTTCTACTAACAAATCATAACTAACACTAGGTGCTTTCGTATTCGCTCCATTACACCCAGTTCCTTACATTCCACAACTTAACTCCTCAGTAATCACCAGGTACTGGAGGTTTTCTCTTCACTCTGTGATGCCCCACTTCACATACTCTTCAACTCTGTCTTACTTCATCAGCAGTCAATAGAGCTTTCATATTCACTCCATTACATCTAGTCTCTTATACTCTTTATCTTAACTCTTCATGAATCACCATGGAGTAGAGCATTCATATTGTGACTCTGTGACAGCCAATCGCAATCGTCACTCAACACTATTCACTTGAACATGAACATTGAACAAGTCGATTAACTCTGCATTGCCCAGTTCTGAGGCTTCACTTTAATAAACTCCTCTCTTACTCTTTTATCAACCACAAATTATGGTTTAGAAAAGGAGAAAGAATGCTGACATTTCATGTTTTATTAAGTCTGTTTTGGTGAAGATTTCTCAGACATACTGTTACGTCCCCAATATGGCTTAGTCTAGGGGCAAATGGGGACTGACATATGAGCCAGGGTTTTACGGATGGAAATACACACACAACTAAGTGTAGGATGAGGGAAAATGCTAGGAAGTTAAAAAACCACGAGGTAAGTGAACAACAAAAAAAAACAACTAATGACATTATTCTACAACCCAATTACCCGCTAAACCTGTCTCCCGAGAAAATGGTGGCAAAGCCAAAGAGAAGTCTTCCGCAAGCTATCTTTCTACTCTATATTGAACTAAGCTATAACAGAAAACTAAAAAAAACACAACAATCCCAACCCTACACCACAGCTAAAAAAACAAGTCCTACACATCTCGCATTTTCGCTGTCTCTTTTTCTTAAACCTCTCTTCAGACAACCTCTCAGGACATTCCGTACCGGCATTTAAAACTGGACCACTCTCTTCAACCAATCCAGAGAGAGAGAGAGACTTAATTTAGAAACACGCCCACTTGCAAAAATGGATTCCCTCATGGGAGGGGAGTAAAAAAAACAGAATGTAACACACTCAGACATAAAATGAATGAATGCTGAAATAAACAAAATAACATGCCATGTCCTGTCATATAAAGACAACATCGTTTTAAGAAAAAAGGAAAATTAAGGAATTAGGAGAACACATACTACCCTTAGAGATATTCATTCCTAGCACTTGTATAGCCCTTGGCGCTTTTTGAACAATTTAATAGATAAGCATTATTTTTCAAATTTCACCTTGGTTATCATATACATTTGGATATTTGGTTTGAATTGAAGGAATTAATTTAGATACACACTATAAATATTGTAACCAAGGTTCATACACAATTTTTTTTCTACTTTATCAATACAGCTTGAGCAAGGTTCTGTATCTTATAATCCTGCAAGGAATCACACAGTTGCATAATGGGAGTTTTATTTCTTCCCTTAGTGGCCAAAGAAGGGCTTTTACAAAGAGAGAAACAGCTGCATACCAACAAAGCCACAAGGCAAACATTATATGGTATTCCTGATTGGGTTGGCAACTTGCTTTCAATGTGTGTATCCTTTCTCCTCAGATGAAGTCTAAAGAGGTGGATCAGGGGCTCTTCACTGACAGCTACTGCAAAGTGTGCAGCGCTCAGCTTATCTCCGAATCCCAGAGAGTGGCCCATTATGAGGTGAGGGTGCTACCTTTTCTCAGACTTTTGTAAGATTTTTTCTCACACTTTTTCAGGATTGAAGTGACAGTAGGGGCTGAGGCTTTAAAAGGTCCCTCTCGCTTTCTTTATGTTTATAGTATAGAAGATGCTAGTTTGTTTTTAAGTTTCTTTCACTGAGGGGCAAGATTTTTAAAACAGCCATACAGGGCAAGAATGATTAAAACAACAATAAACAGGTGTTTACTGAATCACCATTCTCATTTTCTGTTGGTTGTTGGAAATGAAAAGGGAAGTAATTGCACACAGTAGTATATACCACATTGGAATGTTCAGTTTATTTGTTTTGTGTAAAGTTTTATTCACCTTATAATTTGACATTTTGTTCTTACACAGTATTTTTTTTTGTTGAACGTTTTCCATTTCTGAGTGGTATGGTGGCACCGTGCTTTGCATTGCTGCTGTGAAGCCTTGGGACTCTGGGTTCAGTTCCGGACCTGGGGTGCTGCTGTATCTGTATGGGGTTTGTATGTTCTCCCCTTAGTTGTGTGGGTTTTTGTTAGGTGCTCCAATTTCCTCCCTCAGTCCAAAGACATGCTGGTAGGTTAATTGGCTTCTGGGAAAATCGGCCCTGGTTTGAGTGTGTGCAAGTTTGTGTCTCTGTGTGCCCTTGGATGGGCTGGTGTCCTGTCCAGGGTGTAACCCATCTTGTGCCCATTGCTTGCCTGGATAGGCTCTGTTTCCCTGTATTGGATAAAGTGGTTAGAAGATGGATATATAGAGGGTTTCCAATAGTGATTTGTTTTGAATTGTAGGATACATTTACAATTGGAATTGTAGCAATAAGACTCAGAGTTACTATTTTAAAATGCCAATGTCCTTTGAACATTCATTCTATTAACATGCAAGCATCTGCTCAGTAATAATGATTTTAGTGAAAACCTAACTGAAAGTGGGAGGGTTCATTTTCATTGTCTTCTTCCCATCCAAATGAAAAGGAATTCACCTTTCTCTCTTGTGCAGGACACAGATTTAACTTTTAATATGAGGGTGGTTCACACAATTCTGAGAAATATACAAAGGGAGTCAGTAGAAAATATATTTTAGTTTGTTATAGTCCAAGTTTAAGATGATGTGTACAAATATATTATGGAATACCCTGTTCCTTAAATTTGCTTATGTGTGCAGAGGTATTCTGAGAGTTATAGCTGGGGCTTCAGGTCAAGTACCAGCAGGTTGAATTCCCATTACTTACATTTATCTTGCATTTACAGTAAGTGACTATACTCCTAGTGTCAGCTGTGTTTGCCAAGGGTTAATTTGCAATGAATGTCAGACATGGAGGGTTTTGTATTCTCATAATGTGCATAATGCTAATGGAAACATCTTAAACTCTGTGAGTCAATTAAGCTTGCAAAACATTGTAAGCTTTTAATGCTGGATGGTGACAAAAAAGTAATTGCTGTCTCTGAATCCGTCATGCAGAGACATGTTAGAGGTTAAGGTTAGGCCAATGACTGTATTGAATGTCAGTATAGTGTATTATACCATGTCAAATTTATTTTTAGGACAATATATACAAATTATCTTTTGATATACTGTATGTGTAATCACAGAAGTCATTATGGAAGCAGTTGATTTTGATGAGCAGAGCTTTTAATCATTGCCTCAAAGACATTGAAGGTGCAGTTGAGATTCTTCTGTTTTTCCAAAACGTCTTGTGCTTTTTCTGAACGCAGTTCAGAGCAGTTTTAATAGCCCAGCATATTTTTTTTAAAGAATTAAAAAGGTTAAACTTTTGATTTGTAGAAAAAAGGGTTTCTGCAGCACATCAGTACTTTACTGGTTTGTCAGCTATATTTTTCATTACCATTGTGTCCCTAAAAACTTTTAACAGCACATACAGTGAAGCAGTGAGCTTTTTGTGTCTGTATATCAGTAATTAAGCATTGGAGCCCAATCTATATTTAGGCTTCATCCATCCATTTTTTTGTTATCTTTCACAAATATACAGTAATTAACCCTGTACATGACCTTTAGTACCGTATCTTATCATTAGAAATTTAAATATAAATTAAAATGTGCATATTTTGTTTTCTGTTTCCTGAGCAACAAAAATTGCTCACCTGTCCTTCAAACTTTCCAAAGTATTCATGTTCATAACCTGTGAAACAAAAGTAGCTAGCTTAGTTAAACAGCTGGCTGATATAGTTCAAATTAAAATTAAAGATTTACAAACACAGTGCTCAGTCCTTTGTACAATCAACATATTTCTGTGTACCAATCAAGAACCTATATTGATAATGGTTTGTGAGTCTTAGCTTTGAAAAGGTGAACAAATAAAACTGCACTAAAAAGCAGACAGCTCAGTTGCGAACTTACACTGCTTGGTAATTCCTTTCACAGATCAACATCCCAATATAAAAACTACAACTCTGTCTACCCCTAGTTTATCTGATAAACTGCCAATGCCCTGCCTTATCTCTGTTTCTCTGGCATGAGCCGTGACAAATTGAAAATGAGGGAGAAACAAAATAGGAAGTTGTAGCATACAGTAGGCCTTGTCACTGTGCTTTCTCTTTCATCGTGGTAATGATTTCAACCTTCAGGGACTGCTGTCTCCTTCTGGTCTTGAAGCGCATGCTGTTCAGGAGATATTTGCCTGGTCAGTCACTGCTTGCTAGAGGTCATGTTCTCTTTACAGTAAAGATTTGTTGTGATTAACAAGCACTTTGCTGAGGAGTAGTTCTAACACCCTAATGCAACTGAAGGCAAATAAATGCTAATTTCTATTACTGTATGTGTAATCTCAAGCTACATCTTCCTCCTAATATGATTTGTCTCTTAATTTGTTATAGCACCCAGGATTGAGAGAGACAAGCAGAATTTAAAAATAACCATTTGACAAACCTAAATTCTTTCAAGTCAGTTCAACGCGTCTAATTCACATCTCTTTCATGTGTAGTTTCCTGCAACTTCAAATCAACATGTGATATGTACAGTTATAGGTATAGTGTACACTTCTACTTGCTGTATAGATACTTTGCATCTTTAAAAGTTAGATTTCATATACCAGTAGTACGAGCAATCTTTATTTCTTCATCTTAAGTCTTTTTTTCCGTGTTTCTTGTGACTGCAATCCTGACAATATGTGCTGTTTCTTACAGTGACCCAAATAGAGGTTAAAGACCTTGTAACTTGCTGTTTCCTAAGCAGTGTACACAGTTTTAAATTCATGTGCACACATTATCTTGGATTCTCATAACTTTTAATGGACAAATTAACCTCTTATGAGGGAATTTATACAAAGCCTTCCAGAAATCTAAATTAATCAGACAAAATGTTTTAGATTGATCAGCTGTCTTTAGTGCTTACTCCAAGTATTTTAGAACATTATACTGTACTAGACAATCTTTTTCTAAATGCATACTGGTTTTCTCTCATAACGCCATTATTTGGCAAATATTCTTCTAATGAAGCTTTATTTATAATTTCCATAGCTGTTTAGTTATAGAATATGAAAAGCTGGTCTGTAATTTCTTAGTTCAGCTTTGTCCCCTTTTTAGGAATTGGTGTTACATTTGCAATTCTTCACTCTGAGGGTCCAGCTCCTAACTTCAGCAGCAACTGAAGTATGGTTCATTAAAGGTCTATGAATAACATCTCTCATTTCCTTAAGTACAACTGGGAAATCACTAGCCATTCTAGTCCTTGTAATGTTTCATTGTTATGCTAAGATTACTACTGGTGGAGTAACCTGGTGTTGCAAAGAAATCCATCTTATTTTGCACAACTTTGTATGACCTATAAAGGCATGGTGGTGCAGTGGCAGGGATTGGTGCTTTGCAATTCTGGGTCCTGAGGTCCCATCTTCAGTTTGTACAGTATGTTCTCTTCGTGTTTGCATTAGTTTTCTCAAGGTGCTCCAGTTTCCTCCCAGGGTCCAAAAACATGCTTGTAGGTTAATTCACCTCTGAGAAAACTGGCCCTGGTGTGAATGTGCCCTGGAATAGAGTGGATGTTTCCTACATTGTGCCCATTGTTTGCCTAGTTAGGCACCGGCTCCCCTGTGACCCTGTATCGAATAAAGCCATTAAAAGATGGATGATGTAATCAAATAATATGTTTACATCTTTTAGTACCAATCACATATTATCTCTCAATCTATTTGTTTCAGTTTTACAGTTTTTTTTTGATGATGTACTGAAAACATATTTGCAATATTTTAACTTCCACTGCAATGGTCACTTCTATCCATATTTCCTAGTGAATGGAATATCTTTTATGTTGTGCTTTTAGCTCAATTGACATTTTTCTCTTTTTCTCTTTTTGGGGTGTTTTAGACAATCTGTAGAACACTTTGATTTTTGATCTGATTTTTTTCTTATTTTCTCACAAACTTACCAAATTGTTTTATCTCAATGATCATCTCAAGCACACAGATTCATCGTTGCCTAGTGGTCTATCCTTTAAATCATATTGTTCAAGCACAAAGACTTTCTCTGCTTTACAAAACGGATCACTTGGAAGACCTGTGGCGTCCTCCATGCTTGAGTCTCAGATACAGATCTGTGACATTTTATTTAGATTTCAAATCTTATTTTAAAACATGGATCTATCCTGGTACCCTTTCCAAGAACTGAGAAAACACTAATGCAACACAGACTTGAATATCAGAGCATATTTATTTTCATACAGATTATGAACTGAATTGTTTAGAATAAATACTGACCTACTGTGATCTTGAAGTCACCATGTCTAGTGAATGTTAGCATAGATCCAACTTGGTCAAAGCCACTTTGAGGAAAATGTGTAGACCTTTTACAGGACTATGATGTGCCACTTTAGTGTCTGTATAAGTGCCTCCCAGGATGGTTTCGTATATGGTCCCTTGTGCTGGTTAGGAATTTGTTATTCCTCCAACTAACATTTGATTTTTAAATACATTTATTTGAGTTAAGTTAAGAAATATTTTCAGTGCTTCAGTAAGAGTTGGTATCACACAGTAATAACATACAGTA